CTTATTTGGTCAAATCAAACATTTCAACCAAAGTTTACCAGCGTTCGATATCCGACGACGACCCTCACCACCTTTGAGGCTGTCGTCCTCCCTGCACAGGCTTTCCCAGCCATCGCCGCGCAGCGCATTTTCGTAAATACTAGACCAAATCAAAAGTTAGTATCATGGTCTAATTCTGCTTCTGAAATTTTCCCTGATTCGAATGTGAGAAGAAAATCGTGCGGATTTGCTTGTTGGGTATGTTGATTCAAAGCTTCGAAAAAGTTGGAGCTTCTGCGCAAAGCTGACAGCATTCTTGAATAGAACAGAAAATTTGGCTCCTAGAAATATGCAGAATGTAGCAGCCTGCGGAAAATTTGGTCAGAAATAATGCCTTCCAATGAGAGCCGTCGAAAACGGTAAGAAATTTCCTTAAAACCTACTATTTCCTGTCTCGGTATCTGGTGTCTCCAGTTGATCGTTTGACTTCGGCTACCGTGTCACTAAAACCGCTCGAGAGCTAAGGAATCACTTCTCAAAGCTCACACTTCACACAATTGCGTTGCGCGCATCCTTCTACGTAGACAGCAATGAATTCGATGCCGTGCTTCAATTCCTGCATTCTACTTTGATGGCCACCTTTGAACTGATGCGGCAAGAGCGAAAGGAACATAAAACAATAAAATCAAGCGTCTTGTTTTTTGTGAAAACGACTGTGGTACGATGGACAGAAGCAGCGCTGCGAAAAGAAGGAAAACACGGAAGAGTCAGCCGTACGGAAGAGCTCCGACACGTGGAAATTGTAAAAATGGCAGCGGTCGCAACGATGAAGGCATCAGCGCCTTCTTAGCACGCTCTTGTTTCGCTACAGTGCTCGAGGTCTTGCTGCCTCTATCACGGAGAACTTCTGAGTGTCTAGTCGAACCGTTCAACCGTGAAAGTAAGCAAACCAGCCCTTTTGGCGTTTCTGCTGGGGCCGTATGCTGAATGTTGGGGAGGGGATGGGGTCCCCGACGGTCGACGGACTACTTCAACTTAAAACCGCCTCAATTTGATGCTTACCTCAGGACTAAGCCTTAAAGAGAGGACGGACCTGCGAGAGAGCGCAGGTCCGTCCTCTCTCCAAGGCTTAGTCCTGGGGTAAGCAAACCAGCCCTTTGGCGGAGCTGCTGGACCAGCTGCACCACTTGCGTCAGTACTCTCCTACCGTACCGACCGAGTTGAAGTAGTCCGTCGACCTCGGGGACCCCATCCCCTCCCCAACATTCAGCATACGGCCCCAGCAGAAACGCCAAAAGGGCTGGTTTGCTTACCTATCATTCGTGCCTATAATCGTAAGCAGTGCCTTTAGGTAAGACATTTTGCTAGCATGAGGGTACAGTATCTGGTTTGATGGCATTTTCTCTGATCATTTCTGCTTGCAATTCCTTGTAACCTGTTTCAGGCAACTCTTCTTTCAGATCATTCATGCCTTTCTTTTTTCTTCAAGCGATCAAGCCTTCTTGGTTTTTGGTTGTACTCCCTTTGACTCGTTCTACCACCACCAATCCCTAAGCTAACGTCGCGTTGGCCTTTCGAATACCCAACTGCGTTGAGCATCGCTCAGATCTTAGTTAGCACAAATGTGCTTTTGAGCAAATTCGGATATGAGAGGTAACGCATGACCTCATGAGGACACCAGTGCAATACGGCGGAGATTCTTAAATCACTTTGTTTAGTAAAACCACTTGACAATTTGCAGGCGCATGTAAGCTGTTAAAAACTATGTACAAAACTATGTTGCTCTGACGTTTTCGTGGTTGCAATCCTGCCAAGTTGAACGATCTGTAAGACACTCTCTAATGATATGCGTTAAGAGAATCCAAAAAAACCGAAAGTTACAAGCGAAGTCAAACGTACAAGACCCCGTCATGCAGATATCAAATGGAGCATGGAGTGGAGGAAGATCGACGAAGAAAACTTTCCCTAGAAGAAAGTAAGCTTATTATAATGCTTTTTAAATGGTTGATGGCGACTACTATCTCGCTATGATGAGTATTGGCTTGCTCTTATCGAAGAGCTGTTTCTGTCCTTCCAGACGTTCGTTTCTAAGTCGTTCCGAGCTCGCGTAGAAAATGCTTTGCTCCTGTTTTCAAAGGAGAGTTATATGGGTGTTAGTGCCTCATGAATTCTTCGTTCAAATTTTTGTTTCAGTTTAAAGTTCTTCAAGTCAAAATAGTCTTCTTCTTCTCCTAGCGTTAGTCCCGCGCAGTCGCAGGGTCCGCTGTCTTTATCAGTCGTCGCCACTTCGCTCTGTCTAGGGCATCTTCTGCTGTGGCCGTGATTTCACTTAGGTCCTTCTTGATTACGTCCTTCCACCTCTTCTTTGGGGCACCTCGCGGTCGCTTGCCTTGCGCTTCGAAGTCCATTGCTTTCCTTATTGGGTGGTCCTGTGGCCTCCTTAGCACGTGCCCATACCATCGCAGTCGCTGTTCTCCCTCACCTTCAGCTGGACAGGACAGTCCTCATTACCTGCTCTGAACATCCCTCGATTGGCCTGACACCTGTCCAGTGCGTAGAATCGCAGGCACCTATCTCAGCTTCCTCCTAATTGTCGGCAAAAAGTGAACTGCTTCTCGATGATTCTGTTAGAGGGACAGCATTGCGCAAGGTGCCGGTAGAGCAATCGCCGACCTTACCGCGTCCAGAATAGAAAGAAAACACCTTCCTTTGAAGCGTCTGGAGCACCTTCGATCGCAGAGGATTCCAGTGGACTCCCTCCATTTCATCCAGGCCGCGTTGATTCGTGCCTTCACTGCCTGATCCACACTTCCGTCGGCTGCCAGATCGCTCCCAAGGTATCTGAAGTCCTCCACTCTTTCGATGGTCTCACCATGGCCGTCCACGATCGGCTCTGCACCCTCTTCAAGCTCAGGAACTTGGTCTTCTTCAAGTCAAATTAGTATCATAGCAAGGATATCTCGGAAGGTCCAATAACGCACTGAGACCTTCGGCCAGGAAGTTTGAGAAGTTCAAACCCCCAGCGAAATAACTAACTAGACGTCGAAATAAATCACGACAATAACGAGCGATCGTGCCTCACGATTTCCAAACTTATGCTTTTGCATGGAGAACGTGGAGAAGATCAGCGCTGTGTTTGACTGCTCTCTGCTACTGGTCGGTACTAAAGTTGTGGCTCAATCGCAATGGCACAAACAATAAGTGCTGTGAAGATTGCCCTCATCATGAGCCCCACTTGCTATTAATGAAGGTCCTTCTCCTTGAATCGGGAGTTCATCCAAACGCAAGTGCTGGGGATTTGTTGAATACGTGGGCTCAGCCAATGCACCATCAGCAGGATGCACATTTGAGTGGGCTGGGCCGCTATCAACCATGACTGGAAATCGCGCGTAACCACCCCTGGAAGATGGCACTCATGTCGAATTGGTCTCGTGCAGGATAGTGCCGCACGCGGGGTTTCCCTCCCTTGCGCGGCGAGACGAACGCTGCGACGCTGCTCGATCCTTGGATCGCTGCCCTGGGGAGCCGGGGTAGCCTCGTTGGCTGCACTAACTCGCATTTGCGTGTGCTTCCTGGAAGCAAGGTGGGTTACGGCATACCGTTCTGTTTTCCTGAACGTATGAGATCAAGGAGGTATCTGCATTCAGCTCGGCATTCGGGGATAACCTTCCTTGGCGCTGCGACGCTCCTCCATCATGCGACTGCTACCCCGAAGAGCGCGTCAATGCGTTGCACATTGTATTGGGTTGATCCATAATTTCTGGCCGAATTTCAACACTTTGATTTATTCAAGTTTTATCTTCCTAAAGAACAATTGATCAAAAACATAACCACCATCATAATCACTGATATGCACCCATTCCCCTAGGATTGAATGGATTCCCCCAGAACGAGAGCAGCTGTGAGATGAAAAGCTCGAAGATGCCGTTTTTGGGCGGTTGTATTTTTTGACTTTTTCCCCTCGTAGCTGCTTCTTCAGGAGGCTGCGGAGCTGATAGTACGGTGGAGCAACGTAAGGGCTATAC